TATGTGTATGGCCATTTGTTTATAGCTGTATGCATGTATGAGTAGATTTGTTTGAGACTGTATGTACGTGTATGGACATTTGCTTATGGCAGTATGTATGTATGAGTAGATTTGGTTGTAGCTGTAAGTTTATGTATATGTATATATGCGTGAGATTTGGTGTATGTACTATCTCCCAGTATGGACGGATATGCATCTGAACACTCACGTGGACAGAACGTGTATTGGGTTGTGGTCTCCCATACCCAAGTCACGAGAGAGAGATCTGCCGGTGAAGTGTCGCGGGTTGTTTATTGTCCAGTTAATAATCGTGAGGGATAAACTAGGTTTATATAAACATAGGCCAAGGCACCAGGGATAAAACTAGGTTTATATAAACCTAGGCCAAGGCACCAGGGATAAACTAGGTTTATATAAACATAGGCCAAAGCACCAGGGATAAACTAAGTTTATACAAATATAGGCCAAGGCACTAGGGATAAACTAGGTTTATATAAACATAGGCCAAGGCACCAGGGATGAGTATCTGGTCAATGCAAACGCGTTAGATACGCTTACAGTATCCATTGGAGAGTGTCACATCATCCGAGTAATCACACATTGGTCATCACTACAATCCACAGCTCACGAGATAGCACCTCTACAATACACAACTCATTCACACGATGTTGTCTCTGCATTCCAGCCGGAGATACCACCCGTGCTATCGGTTAAGCCAGAGACCAGCGAAGACCTGACCAATGCACAAACGCTGGCCATGCACATGACGGACACCGAGAAAGAACGTGCTGTGCAACAAGGTCATATGCAGGAGGTTAGCGATGAACTGTGTGTAGGGTTCTGGAAACAGACACGTTTGATGCGCATGGAGGGCTTGCCTGGAGAATGTATCGGCGTGAGTATAGTCGAAGTCGAGGTACGTGTCCATGGGCACAGAGTGTTGCTTCGGCACTGTGGGCTGATTTATTTGTGGGCGTTATAGAGAGCGGCTTGTCGCCGGAGGGTTTAGGGGTTTATATACTTGGAGGTTTATATTCGGGTTAGTGGTTGTAAGGCCGTCACATGGTCTGTAAACAGTGATTAGGGTCTGGGGATGAGGTTTGACACGTTAATGTGTATGGTCTCTCCTGGTAGAGTATGAGTTGTTATGAGCGTAGCAGGTGTTGCCGTTGTGTAGGACTCCTTTCAACGTGTGTGTAAGTACTGTCCCCAGACTACGCGTGTGTTACGAACAGATATCTGTTCACACACCCAATCCAGCTACACCTACATAACTATCTATCTATATCACTTTCCCGTCGTATTCATGTACACAGAAGGAGAAGGACTACTACAGCACCAATTACTGCCCTGTGATTGGGGTGTCAGTCCTTCGCATGGACGCCCCTGCCGACGCCCAAAGACCTGAAGTCTCATTGTATGTGCTCGAGATACACTGTACTGTTTGTTTCTTTTTTAATACTGCAAGTATTGGGTGCATACGTACACTGTACTGTCTGTCCTTTTTTATTACTGCAAGTGTGGATGCATGCGTGGCTATCAGCGCAATCGTCTATACGAGTTACCACCCTTTCGTTGCAACCAGTCCTATGAGCTGCAGTACGAAGAGGAAGTTCGGTACTTTTGAGTGCAGGTAGTTGTTTTAACCCTATCATTCACGTGCTTTCCGAATGGCGCTTGTATGTGGTGATCCAGGGTACGGTACATGTTCATTGCGTTCGTATGTGGTTCCTGTGTGTTCTATTGTGTTCCTATGTGATTTCTATGTGTTCAATTGTGTTCCCATGTGGAGTACGGTACGTGTCTATTGTGGGCCTGTGTGGTTGTTGCATTCGTGTGACTGAATTGCTCATAGCCAAGCATAGGAACTGTAGCTATCGACAGCACGCAGCCGTAGTTTTGTTTCGTCCGATTGGCTTGCTTACCCAACGTAATAGCCTGAATGCTCCAGGTAGGGAGTGTTGTTATCAGAGATATGCACTGCCATCATAAGTACTTACTCACCGTAGTAGCCTGAATGTTCCAGGTAGGGAGTGCTATTTTTAGAGATATGCACTGCTATCATAAGTACTTACTCTCCGTAATAGCCTGAATGTTCCAGGTAGGGAGTGCTATTTTTAGAGATATGCACTGCTATCATAAGTACTTACTCTCCGTAATAGCCTGAATGTTCCAGGTAGAAAGTGTTATTATCAGAGATATGCACTGCTATCATAAGCACTTATCTACAGAGATAAAGACACGTTGAATAGTACTTTGACTGAAACATACACATCACTTGTCTTCACCTACAGAGATAATGAGACGGTGAACAGTACTTTGACTGAAACATACACATCACATGTCTTCACCTACAGAGATAAAGAGACGTTGAATAGTACTTTGACAGAAACATACACATCACATGTCTTCACCTACAGAGATAAAGAGACGTTGAATAGTACTTTGACTGAATCATACACATCACATGTCTTCACCTACAGAGATAAAGAGACGTTGAATAGTACTTTGACTGAAACATACACATCACATGTCTTCACCTACAGAGATAAAGAGACGTTGAATAGTACTTTGACTGAAACATACACATCACATGTCTTCGCCTACAGAGATAAAGAGTCGTTGAATAGTACCCCCCAACCGCTGCATGAGCGCTTGCAATCGTTGGCCCAGCGTGCAGCCTCGTTGGGAATGCTGATGGGCGAAAGTGCGACAGAGTTTGTCAAAGAGAAATGTACTAAGGAAGGTATGGGGTACGATGCTTCGTGTGAGTATATATACATACGAGAGTTTGTCGAGGAGAAATGTACGAAGGAAGGTATGTGGTACAGTGAGTATATATACATATGAGAGTTTGTCAAGGGCTAAGGAAGGTATGTGGTACATTGCTTCGTGTGAGTATATATACATATGAAAGTTTGTCAAGGAGAAATGTAGTAAGGAAGGTATGTGGTACAGTGAATAT